AAAATCAACTCCAACTCATCCTTCACAGGCTCTGTGGAGTGAATTTATCTGTACAAGGGTTTCTTAACAGAATGGGACCAGGGTGTGGATGAACAGCTGCTAGTGAAGTGATCTGAGATGTCTACTACAATAAGTATGGCAGAAAAGTACAACAGATGAAATGGAATAATCTCTCTCCAAGGAAAAATGACCCTCATTCAATAATGCAATGCACATGTGAGATTGTGTTTTACAAAGTTATGGATGAAGACCCACGTGAAAGCTGAAGAACAGCCAAACTGCAACAGCAGCAGTAGCAGGAGTAGCAGCGGTTAAGGAGGATAGCCTTGTACGTTACCAAATGGATAAATAAATACAGAGGGAACTGGAAGTGGAATCACCATTCCCTGCAGGAGGTGATGGGTAGTGTGACAAGAAGAAAATAAATGAAATTAAGATGATTAAGAAAACAAAACGTTAAGAATGTGAACTAAGATGGAGACTTTAGTTAGACATTTTTATTAACTCCTGAGCAAGGACAGATTGATGACCAGACAGCACTAACCCTGTGGACACATTTTATAATGTATGACCTTTGTGCCTAAAACTAGATTCTCCCCCAATTAAATAACACAAGAACAATGAGTGGCCTGGTTTTGCATGAACCAGTCTTACAAAGAGATTTTCAGTTCATATGATCTCAGAAAAAGAAAAAAAAATACTGTTTCCCCTTTTAAGTGCCAGATCCTATGCGTGGTATCTTAACATAAAAAGATGAACTAGATACCATACATACTGAATGTGTGATGATTTTTGCAAGCTCAGCATCACTTTCCAGTTTCTTTAGTAAATGATTTCTCTTTCCTGTGGTTCAGGTGGTGCTAAGTGCCTGGCTAGAAAAATTGGTTTATGCCTCTGTCCTTCCCCAACCAGCTTCCACAGACATTGACCCAGGACCGACCAGTTGACATAGGAAAGACCAATCAAAGCTTTCCCTGAGAGCTAATAATGTGCTTTAAGGTTAGAGTATTCTAATCTCATGAATTGGAATAATGAAATTAAATAATTTTTAAACACAAAATTATTTCAAAATATACTAATTATCTAAGTTCTAAAAACTGTGCACTGTGACTAATAGGACAGCAGTTTATCTGCCCACATTTCTGCTCCGCTCTCTTTAGGTTTTGGTCACTGTCAAATGAAGTCAGTGGAGAATGGCATAGCCAGTTCTGATTCATTTAACACACGAGTGCTTCTTAGGCACAAAACACCATTCCAAACATTGCCCTGTATAAAAAGATAAATAATATCCAGACCTTACCCTCAAGGATCTTACAACTTGGCAAGGGAAATAAGACATGCACACAGATAACTGCCATAAAAAGAAGATAATGATTGCTGCCAGATGTTTGGGGAGAATGAGCAGAGCCTAAGAGAGAACACAGAATAAGGCAGCATTCAAAAGTCAGCCAAGAAATATTCACTGAGCAATCACCGGATGTGAAATGAACATGGAAGCACAGAGCATGGGCTGAGACACATGCAGGTGAAAAATCAAGTGACAGTACTTGTTACCCAGCTTGCTCTCCAAATACTTTTTGTCACCAAGTTCTTAACACATAGCCTAAAAGTAAAAACTAAAGATATGAGATAGTCTCTGTCAAAGACAGCTTGAGGTACTGATGCTTAAATACAAGGATCGTGCACTTGAGTTCCCAGGTATGCCCTCTTATTGTTTTACTTGCTTGTTCTTCTCCTTCTAAATTAGCTGATGCTACCTTAAAGGGATATCCATTTCAGCTCTTCCATCCTTTTTGATCTAGTGCATTTGAACAGGCGAATTAGAAGAAGATCCTTTTGGCTTCAAACAACAGAAAGAAAATATTATATAATTGAAAAAGTCCAGAGGCAATCCTTCAAGCATGCCTGGATCCAGGAGCTCAAATGTTTTAATCAAGCCTCCCATTTTTGTCTGTCTGTCTGTCTCTATCTATCTATATGTATTTCTCTCTATATATTATCTTAAGACTCAGCATCTCCCCGTTCATGTGGAAGCCCCTGGCACAGCTTCTGGCTTATCTCCTCAGAGCTCCAAAACTGGCAGGAAGAAACAGAGAATCATGGCAAAAGGTTGTACAAGGTGTGCAGTCATATAGTAGGACATCAAGTCTAAGGGTGATTGATATTCACATTGTACACTGGGTAGATTTGGTTATTAATTACAGCACGGTCTTCTGGAAGATGATAGAAACTATCTTATTCTTACAAAATCAGAACAGCATAACAATTTTACAAAAGAGAAACAAAGTGTTTTGAGAAAGGGGCCCTGTTTTTATCTGACTCACACAGAGATGGTCTACGCAATGGGGGTGGCCCTGTGCCTCCACCCTGGTTGCCCTAGTGAAAGTGTAGGGATTAGCCCTGAATGGCTCTGGCAGGGCTCTATGCCCATTCTTGAACTCAGCACTAAGCCAGAAGGGTCTGATGCTCTGATTAGCCAGGCCAAGATTATAGGAAGTGGGGTCAGTTGTCCTCAAACCATAAACATTAAGACATGGAGGGGTATATCAAAAAAGAATTTGATGGACTTTCCCCAGAAAGAGGAGGAATAGACTTAACCAAGGAAAAGAAAGGGACATTACCTGTTTTCACAGATCTGATAGTTGAAATATAACCTGGAGAGCATCTAATTCAATCTCATCACTTTCCAGATGGGGAAATTAAAACCCAGACTGGGGAACAGAAGTGCCAAGGGCACACAGGTAGTTGGTGGCAGAGACAACCAACTACCTATCTTTTGACATTTTTTTTTTTTTTTGGTACAGTGATAGTTTTCTTCATTACATCATCACCAACAACAAAAAGTATGGTCTTGTCTCAGGTTTTTTCTCCACCCTTAAATCCAGAAAACATGGTTTTGCTGCACTTCAACAGAAAGCCTCAGCAAGAGTTGAGTTAACTTCCTTGAGTCCACTCTTGTCTCCAAGGACAGAGACATTAACTGTCCTTATGTGGGAACTAGGGCCACTTGTTGCTTTAATGGGCCAAGTTTCGGCTCGGCCAGAAGGAGGAGGCACCTTCCATAAAGAGCTTCCTAACTGCACTGCAACCTGTTCTGGCATCCTGACTTTGTCCCCAAATCCCCAGCTACATAAGGAGAAAGACATTTCCAATCAGTGGAGAGACCTCTGCATGCTCCTCTTTCTTCCTCCTACCATCACCTCTTTCCTGCCATTTCCTACAAAAACCTGTCACCAGCCCAGAAGCATTTCTAGAAATAGGTAGGAGGAAAGCCTTACACCTGTCAGAGCTAGAGAAGAAAGCAGCTCTGCAGAGTTCCCAGTTGTTCCATCTCTTGCAATGAAAGGAAGAAAAGGGATGAGTCCGAAATTTCTGCCACAGACCTGCTGGTGACCATCGTTAATTAACCAGCTCCGGCCCCAGTTAACCCCTAAAGACCAGGCATGCACTCCCATCCCTAACACTTCCTCTCGGCTTCTGCTCCCTACAGGCTAGCCCAGCCTAGCCCCAAGAAGTCTCTGGGTGAAGGTTCTTTAAATCATGAATCAGGTTCTTGTCGGAACGTGTGTTTTTCTTAGTGAACACTAGCCCAGGCAGATCAGTAGAGTCTGGGGTCCCTCGCGTCCCTCCTTCACTGGCTTCTCTGCCTGCGGACTCCCTGGCGTTTTCCCCGAGCTGAGAGTCCAGGCTCTGGACCCAGCGGTTGGGAGCAATCAGCACCAGGCATCCCCGCCCCGCCCCGGGGCTGATGCCCCCCGCGCCCAGAGCGTGGGTGTGGGTGCAGGCGTGCAGAAGGCTTCCACAGTGAGTCGGAGGTAAGAGCTCAGCCCTGGCTTGCGACCAGCAATCCCTAGATTCCCTGGGGACCACGAAACTCCCATTCCGAGGCAACCACCCTCCTCTCCCCTGCCGCCCACCCATTCCCCCCTTACCTCAGCACGCAGCCCCTCCCTGCGTAATGATGCAAACCAGTGGGGAAGGCGGGCGCTGGGAAGGGTGGGGAGAGCAGGAGAGCGAGCGAGGGAGGGA